CGCTAATACAACTATTTTATTTATCAAAATTATATAATAGAACGTAAAATAGATTCTTACATGTCGTATATTATGCTTTTTCATTGATGATGTCTACATGCAATTTTAAAAAGTAATCTTTAGTTTTTGAAGAAATGTAAACAGCGTTGTAGTCCTTATTGTAATAAATATAATTTACGTAATTGCATTTACAATAATTAATAAAACTTTCTTTTTAAATTTATATAGACCTTTTTTACAATTTATAGAGAAAAAGATATCTATTTATTGCGTCTTTTTCTTTAAATTTATTTGCATTCATCACTTTTATATCAGAAGGTATATCAGGGATAGTGAAAGTAACGTGAGTCCGCTGACGTAAACTAGAACATATTTTTTACATGCTGCGATTAAATGACATGGTGGACTTAGTATTTTATTATTCATCAAGTTAAACAATATACTAAATTGTTTAAAAAAAAACGTAATATAAAAAGTTTTTTTTTAAACGCTTTATTTGTAATATTTATGCTTTCGTTGCAGAGGAAATAAAAATTCCAGAATAAATGAAATATTTAGATCGTCACATGTTATTGATTTTTCCATCTCCTGTTGGTATTTCAAAATAAATACCGAACGCACGTAATTATAAATTCTAATGCTTATTCTTATCTATAAGGCACTAATTACACTCATCATGTCTCTGACTTCGACACACAGAGATAATTGTATAGTTGTGAAAGAGCAACACATCTATGAAAGACCGATAGAAATTCGTTCATATATATAATACATACGTACATACATCTGTACGCATGTGTGCATGCGCACACGTGCATGTTTCAGGTGGTGACTGTCTGTTCAGGAACAATGCTGTGGAGGGCAAAGGCCGGGGGAACGGCGAAGTATGGTGCGGGTTAAAGGAGGCTGTAGCAAGAGGTGACGGTCGAGAGGAAAAAACAGGAGATGTACATGTAGTCCTTATTTTACACGTGTGCAACAAGCATACGAATGTGTTAGTTTTACCTTACTTCGGGTGTGTCAGGGCAGGGCGGGGAATGATGTTACTCGGAGAAAAAGAAGACATAAAAGGAGACACGTGATGTCAACATGGCTGTGAAATCGCAGGTGCCATTCGGGATTTTCCAGATCTGCGGAGGCGTTGCATCCATTTAAATGCCATCGCGTGGAATTGACACGATCTATGGGAGCCTTCCTATCTATCGGTTGACGTTGACACGTGCAATGCGTTTTGTGATTCAAAAACGGAAGCGATTGCTGAATATTTATTATATCTACCAAACAAATATATTTTAATAAATAAACTTCTTAAATATAAAATTATGTCTTTCTACTAATAATTTTTTTAAACATATCAGTTATAATAGTTCTAGTTTATTCTAGTTATAAAAAATAATTTAATGTTTAAATTAAAGTATATGGAGGAAGCTTATGAGAAATATACGAACTACATTCTTAATTTTATTTTAAATGAAAATATTTTTTTAATATATATCTTCTTACTGATTTTAAATGCTATAATTCAAGATTTTGGTAACTGAGATACAGTAGTAGAAAAGATATTAAGACTAAGAAACTATATAATAGATGGCTAAAAAATGAAAAAGAGTAAAATGAATAAACAAACATGAATGTGATTAGAACAATTTTATAGTTATTAGCGAGATGGTAATATTGAATGACATATATTCTTCTCATATATTCTCCTTTGAGAAAACATATATACATATTTTTCTTTCCGCTCTTTTAAAAACATTTCTCTTTTTTAAAAGAAAATATTGCCTATATACTTATTTTAACGCTCCCACTATGCTATATCCTATATTTGCATATTTTATTATTATAGATATCACTTTTAGTAGCAACAAAATATTCGAAAAAAAAAACGAACAACTACCAGCAGATTACTTCAGCTGTAAGAGATGAAATTAGATGCAGCTATAATAGACACTGTGAATTATTCGTATCAGGATTGCACTACGAAAATAAGAAAAAAATTCATTTACGAGTTTTATACATTATTTCACTCGCAACTTGCATTCTCATCTTCTAGCTACGCTACTGGGCTTCCTCGCACACAATCGAATCATTCTTGTCTGTACGCAACATATACCAGGTACATTTCTACAATGTATGCAATAAGAGTAAGTGAGAGAGAGCGACAACCAGAAGGGAAAAGCAAACCGACACTTGGTGGGAGTCGAGGCAGCGGATGCAGTAGTGATGGCGGCTGCGTTGGATAACCAGCCGAAGGAATGGAAAGACAGCCAGGTTGCCCGGTGGGGTGGCGGCGGTGAGAGGCGAAGCCGAAGAGCGGCTTAGCTTGGCGCTGCCTCGATCGTAGCCACGAGTGGAGTGTTGAGAGAGCAACCGAGGTCCCGTTGGCCCTGGTGGTCGGCCCGCACCGGGTGAGGCGTCATGAAAGCGCGCCAGTCGACCGTGCGCACCTACAGCCGTACGAGAACACGTTGAACGCTTCGTTTGCTGTCCATTTCTCGGCCTTTCCTCGCTGTCGTGCCTCCGTCCGTTTTCGGAGCACGACACATTGACACGCGGCGACCGGCGCGTTGGCGGATCTCCTAGGACGTTCCCCGGGCGTTCATTAGAATCACAAGATGACAGAGACAGCAGGCGGACGTTCCGCTGGATCGACGACTCCGCAGATGAACGAAATCGCGCGTTTAAGGGATGTTGTTCTCTTTGAGGAATCGTGATTGGAACGGGTGAAGGAGCGCGGTCAGTGGCCTGATTTTTTATTGACATCCTGGGGCGGTGATCTCGAATAAGGAAGACTTTCTTGTGCTTTTAATTAGAAAGTTGGTGTCGTTTTATGGTGTTTATTTTGAAATTGAGGACTTCGTCTCTTTTATGATGATGCGTATGTAACTTCTTCTCCGGTGGCTTAATGAGGGTCTAAGGGAGCGGCAAAGACAATGGCCTTAGAGTAATGCTCAGGTGTGTGCTTCTTTGTTAACCAAGACAGAGCGTTTGTATTCTTAACTACTCGGAATCTTTTGTTTCTCATGATTTTCGTCCTAATGGATGATTCAGGGAGAGCTTCGTATTGCTAACTGTGACGTTTCGCGCGGTGGTTCTTCTCACGCGCGATATCTTGCACGTGAACTGCGATAAAGTAACAAAAGGAAGTTTCTTCGGTAAGTGGACGCATTAAACCGCAGAACAGTTTAATCTATTCATAATCCAGCCATATTTTGTATAAAGTTTCCGTGTCGTGTTCCGTTGAACTTGTATTTCATCAGCGACATCGGATGAAGCGAGGACAAGATAAAAGAGATCTATTGACCAGACACATATATATACAAACGCGTAGTATTTAAAAAAAATTGGAATTATTTCTTTAATTTTATAAAATAACAATTTCGTCGTTAAACGACACAATTAGATGTCACATAACAATAAAACTGAAACAAGGTATTGTAATGATCAATGCAAGAGAAAATCGATCGAATAGACCCTTCTCTGGACAAAATCACGTTTCCGATCACCGAGCAATCTCTCGGCTATTTTCAATGTTTTGTGAAGCTTGCTTCGTTACCTCATTGTTGTCACGTTGACCGCGCCGAAGGGTGCCACCCCTAGTTCGTTATTCCGTTCCACACTTTGGAGCACTCAAATCGCGGAGTAACGAAGGGAGAAAACTAATCCAGTGTCGAAAACTGATCCAGTCGAAAAGAGATAACGAATTTTTATTCGACGAATAGATAAATGCGATGAGACAAACATATTTAAAACAGAATACTATAAATTAGAAGTAAAAATATAGCACAATATAGCTTCTTTGCGAGAAAGCGAAGAAATTTTATAATACTCTTCAGTTCATTGCTACGTTAGTGTATTATATGATTCTTTTACATCACATACTTCAAGAATAACATTAGAATAACGTCATACTTCAAGAAGAAAACAAAGATGCCTGATGAGCGAAAGAACTGGTATTCTATTTAAGAATATGAAGAAAGGCGGAACAAAAAGACACAATATGCGCGAGAGATAAAGTAGAGACACGCCTATTATACTTTCTTTATTAGCATAGTCATCTACATGTGTATCGGTCATTGACATACATTTTCAACGTTAGATAGACGTCAAAATGTAAAAAGCAATATATAATAAAAGTATATTAAATGAAAATTGTATTAAATGTCTATATTAATTAAGCTCTCGTTTACTAAAGTAATTTTATATAAAGAAAATGTTGTGCAATATAAAACAAAATTAATGCAATACAAAATTAATGCAAGAAGCATTCCACTTCTAAATATATTTAAAAAAAGAATAAAATTGAATGTGCGTAACACACGAAATCAAATTCCTTCAGTCTGACACGAAGACTGTGCGATTTGTCGAAACGGAATTTAATGGAAAACGGATGCTATAAGACACAAGGAAACAATTTATTAAATTCTTTTTATTCTGGAAAAATTTACATGACTTTGGTGCACCTGACACAGCGGATGTGCCAGACCGAAGTGGGGGAGCCTGAGAGCTAAGAGCAGCAAGGTGTGAGGACTGCGTATTAATCGAGTCATCGTTTCCTGGTGTATTGGACCCACGATAACACATAGCTTCAGTCAACCAGAAGACTCGGCAACACGCGGTTCGCCGACTGATATGGCAGCAGCCAACGTTTCTGCCACCGCGATCTCTTGGCTCCTCCGTCATCGTCGCCGTCACTATCTCCGATACCGGCATAGCTGTCAAACAACCGAACAGGTGTTACCACGAGGTACCCGGAGTGGGACATTCGATTTCTTGTGATACCACACGCACGGCGCACAGCGACTCGAAGAAATAAGTCCCAGTGCTGTCGATCGATCGATGTGACACGCACATTCCTCGCGCATTCCTCATTACTTAACTGGACGCCGAAGGTGTCTTTGTGGGTGTCATTCCGTGAGGTGTCAGTGAGTATCTGGGTAAGGGGTGGACAAAGGGAGATTGCTCCAAGAATAAGGAAGTTTCGTCGTTGGTGGATTTTGTATTCATCCAGAATGACGGACTGTAAAATCTTCTGTCCAGAACCGGTATCCAAATTCAGCAGTATCTTTCTGCTGCTGCTGATTCTTTTAGCCGAGGTGAGTGCCGATAACTACATGGATCTGGGACATGCCGATAGAGTACTGTTTTATGCTAGAGACGTGGGTATTAGCGCAAAAGACGCGCATTGGTAACATGCGTACATGTTTGTGATAATTTTGAAAATATGCAAATACACTCTAGTTTAAAAAAAAAGCAATATTGATTTTCTGCTTTTGAAAGGTGTATTATTATTCACCTGTAATTCACATTTTTATTATTTTATTTTCCTATAAATAATAAAAAAGTTATAAATTTAAAATTAAAGCTAATATTTAACAATTGCAGTTTAACGTTGTTCGAGTTTTTTTTATAATTTATTAGAGAGTATTCTAAAATCACTATCACTTTCCATCATTTATCCATGCACTAATTAATTTTGAATGTCTTTAGCCTTGATTCTCCTTTGTCCTATTATAAAAACGATGGAGATTTGTCGTCCTTGCATTATTTTACTTAACTTCTATTCTTATCTATCTCTGAGGCATACAGAGCGGCTAAGTAATGATCTCGATCTAGGACATTCCACTCTGGAGAATGTCCTTTTACATTGAAACGCGTGTACTTGAGGCAATCTAGAGGCGGTGACGTACTGAATCGTATTGCATAAACTTGCAAATCTAAATTTATAAAGTCAATTTTGTATTAATTAGACTTAATGTGCTGAATAAACAATTGTGTATAAAAGTAAGCACAAATTAAAAGTTCACTTTTAAAGGATCCTGTAATATTTTGGTTTGATACAAACGAATAATAATTGAACTAAGAAATATCTGCATCAAATCGTAAGAGTCATTTATTCAATGAAATTTCTATCTAAAGAAAAAATTAGAAATGTAAATGTATATTCGAAAATAAATGAAGAATATTAATATCAATAGAGATTACGTATCCTTGCGACAGACTGAAATCAGAGTTTGAGTTCTGGTCAACCGATTGGTGAAGGGGAACGCGACCGACATCCAGTCTTCTTTGCTCGATCGAATCGTATCTTGACATTGCGAAACTCCGCCTGGCTTTCTCAACCGCGAATACATTGCTTCGAATGCCGATGTCTATTGACTTCTGTATCCATCAGTACGATGAATCTAATTGTATTAGTGTCATTAGAATATATCTGTGTCCACTGCATTTTTAAATAAGAACTTCTCAGATGTAATAACTAATTTTCTCTCTCTAGTATTGAATTAATGTCTTCAACTCGAATGCAATGAATTTCAATATTTTATCCGTTTTTGCGCAAGCACAATATATTCAATCAAATACTAGCAGTAGCAGATTAAAGAGGCTTAAGCTATAGATAATCGAAATGATTAGTTGTCGGAATCGTTTGCCGATGGTTAAACCACGGATTACGAGATTTTACTCCCTCCCGGCGAGAGAGAAGAAGAGGAAATCTACCTTTCCGGGTAATTTAAATATTTAACGCACTACGGAGTGCTGGAATTACGTAAACGAATTTTTTCTTCTCCGAGAACTAGTGATTTCGCTATATAACAGTCGGACGGAGCGATATGAGTTATGAGAATATCATTTTGCGAAACAATACAAGATAATACGTTCACGTGATAATCACATAATTTGCCTATGTAAAGAAAGATTTTAATTTTTATAAATAATTTCTTATATATAAAGATTTATAATGATATCTTGGAAAATGATAAATTAAATAATTAAAATTTTAATTAGTTTTAAATGGTATTATATTATATTATATTTATAAAAATATATAAATACTTTAAGAGAAAATGTAAATAATAAATATTTTAGAAAATGATGCAGAGATTGTGTTCTAAGATTATATAGAAATTAATTCAACACGGAGAAGAAGAGGGATTAGCTGTATAGTTTATTGACTAAAAGAAAGTTCGATTGGCGAAAGTACGTCGCGTTATATCTAATGAAGCTTGTAATGGACAAAGTAAACCGTTTAAATGTTCTATGTTCGGAAGAAAGCCAACGCCCATTTAACTACCGTTATATGATACTGTTCTATAAGCGAAATCGATTTTACATCAATTTTATTACCATGGAACATTTTCTACGATTTTAGAAAAATCAAAATTGATCATCATTTGTCATTAATCTTAACATATAAAGTTAGTTTCAATATCATTACTGGGAAAATAGTATAGATATTCTGATTACCAAATTAATTGGACATAAATGATTTTCGATGGACTGAAGAATGAGGAATATAAAATTTTTGTCTACTTCTCCAGTTATACATCGAAAAATACATATGTATACACAAATCATTAATGTAATATCGAAAAGTGTTGTTCTATTTAATCACAGAGTGAGTCATACAAAGTGATAAGTACCCATGAAAAAGATATGATGTAATATAAAAGATATATTCACACACATATAAAAAGCATTGATCTCTCTCTCTCTCTCTCTCTCTCTCTCTCTCTCTTTCTCCTATATACAATACATATATATATGCATTTTGCGAAAGAAATACTTGCCATTTTAGACACTCGTTCAATTTACAAATAATTACTGGATTTATAAAATTTGGATTTCGTAAATGTAATAATTATCTGTGAGTTAGAAGAATCATTAAATTAATAGCAAACTAATTGTCAGTGGTACCTCAAAATGCACTCAATTTTATAAATGTAGAAGAAATCGAGTTTGAGAAATTTTGAAAAATTATTAATACATTTTTTTGCGATGAAATATTAGTTAATTAAAAATTTTTTCAATCATGAATTTAATTAGCCATTTAATTAGTATAAAATTACGCAGTTAAAATACACAGTTAGAATACACAGAAAAATTGAATAAAATTTATAGTAGGTTTTAACTCTTCTAATGCCATTTCCGGTTCCGCACGTACTCAGCTTTCTGTTCGTAAATTCGCTCACTCTGTAGTGCTCCATATTATTTTTACAACATGATCAGTACACCGGATGCTCGTTTGTTTTATATTATCGTTCACTTATCGTTCGCAAAATTTACATTCGTCCTGCTGAAAAAATTTTCTAAACTACTGGGTAGAATCACAATGAATTTCCGCTATGCTTATGTAACATTTTTCAACAAATCCGTTTACAGATAGAGATATGTAAATGGACAAATAAAGGAGGATATTAAGTTTTAGCTGTTTTTCGGACAAAACGAAAAATAGACATACAAATTACATATGTATTATATTAAAAAGCTATTTAAACGAAGTCGAGTGATACATTGCTTATCTTGGGAAAACATTAGAGACATGGGAGAAATGATAAAACTTAATAAATATCACATTTATTGATAAAAAGTTGAGTTCTCAGGAGACTTTATCAATAAGTACTGTATTATTATTTAAAGTAACATAAAGTTATGATTATAATATTTGTTTTTTCCAGATGAATAATAAAAATGAAAAGATCATAAGACAATGATTTGACTCATGTGAAACGATTTAATTTAATTTTTCCCTTTTTCGCGTGTTTTCAAGAAAGAAGAGTGGGTGCGGCGAAACCGTGACATTATTGGCCCAGAATTCGAGGCTTATGACCGCGCTATATTAAACTCTTACCACGGAGACCCTGTTCGCAGAATGCATCGCAAATAGCCGGCGTCGTCATTTTTAAGTCGGACGTTACGCTACATATGCGATAAGTTACGTTGACACGCGAGCACATCGTTAGTTAGTCCATCGCGAACAAAAATCGTCTCCGGTAGTTTCCCTACGATTGAAGTTCTCATCGGCTCATATGATGAAGCCAGTTTTACTTCGAATTTTGAATGAATATGCAGTTATCGGATATTTTTTACTATGAAGCGATTGAAGTATTGCCTTGTTTAAATATTACAAGGAACGTGCGTGGTTTTTATGAAACTCTCATGCATACTCCGATTGTATACAATTATATGCGATTATTCGGAATTAAAACAGCACTAAAACACACTAAATTTGAAATACTTGCATTAATAATAAAATCGTTTAATAGTTAACATAGTAGGTTATTGGAACATTATACACGATTAAAACAATGTATTTAATAACACAACACTTATTGCAACTATTATTGCAATCAAGTCTAACTTATAATTATTATTCTTTTTAAAAAAAGATAAAAATTTATATATAGACATTGATTGTATAGTGAATATCCGAAATATTAAAAATAATAATTTAATCTACTGAGATGTAAAACATTTCAACAATACTCAAAATAGACCGCGAAGATAATAAACTTAATATTTTCTTTATTCTGTCACGGTTACGACTTACCGGAAACGGCGACTTGCAAAGGCAAGGACAAGCTGCACGTGGTGCTCTGCTGAGTGTCAAACGACTTCGGTTCATCCGGATGTGCGACTATATCCTGGACTAGCCTGGGAAGATACGGCTGCACGTGACGAAAATAGAACAGATGGGAGAAATAAATCATCGTTCACTCGTCTGAATCATATCCGACACCTTCGATCGCGTCTAGCTGTCATGAATGGCTTGTAAAAACTGAAATCGAAGCAAACCACAAGCAAAAACAAAAAATTATTGAAACATGCGATTGTATACAATATATATATTATTTAGATTATACACAATAATATAAAAATATTAGATAATATGAATAACAAATTGATAGAACTAAATTGTTATATAGGAAGCAAGCAGAACTCACTTTCTCCAACTTTCTTCGTAATTGAGTTAAAAGCTGAAAGCTTTCAATTCAATCTAATTAGATAAAAGTGTGTAATCAGAAAGTAAACATATATTTAACATTTACATATTTCAAGTTGAAAATAAAAGATTTGAACAACTTATTCTATTCTGCAGAACTTATATCATTTTCATTTTTATTGTAAATCTTCAAAACGGAAAACATAATTTTACTTATACTTATATATTGGTCATATTATCATAATATTGAATTTCAAAATCAATAATATTGAAAGAAAATTTCTTCTGTCAGTTTGACACCTTTCTGATTAATTCTTACTTCTTAGTAATCATTTATGCGCGTAAGTCGATATTCCGATATTTTCGATCTACTAA